CCGGTAGTATGACAAAGAGGAAATCACACGGGCACCTCCACAGCCACCCGCCTGCCTGACCAGGTCCTCTCCCACCACAGCCCTGGAGGAGTGTGGCCCCCCCAAGCACCTGTGAGTTAGGAGGGACTGGCTTTGCTGATGTGCGGTCATTCCTCTCCTGGGGGGTGTAATTTCACCCCCCACGTGCGATTGCCCTGACTTTGCGAAACATTACGCTCAGCTTTATACCTTACCCCAGGTTATGATTTCTGTTTTTTTAACTTCATTTTGTGTTCTCTTCTTCCTCGTTTGTTTGTTTGTTCGTTCATTTGTTTCCATGATTTTGGCTGTTGTCTTTCACCAGGAGGTATGTACCCTTTTATCCCCCAAATAGCTCATCGCTTTGTTGCCAGGGTCTCCCTGGAGGTCCGCCATGCTTCCGTTCCCTGCGTTTGTTTGTTTTTATTTATTAAGTATCGTCTTGTTCGGTTTGTTTATTAGTTGCTTACCCTCCGTTTTGTCTGTGCTCGTTCTGCGTTCTGTGCTTCGTGCCGCTTGTCTGTGGTGCATTCCCGGGTCCCCCGGGGCGTGTTAGTGCTGCTTGAAGCTGGCAGAGAGCCTGCAAGGGGTCTGCAGCTGTGTGAGTGCCAGCCTTGGGACAAGTGGCGCCCCCCCCCCCCGATTCCACTCCATTCCCCCCCAAAACCACGTAAACTGAACCTGTCTGCTGCATTTCTTCAGAAGAAGGGAGTTCAGCACTCATATTCGAGAGGTTTGTGGCTGTTACTGAAGGCTGAACTGATTTGAAATGCTGCACTCTGATCTGGACACAGAAGATCCTCTGCCTGGGGTTTCTGGAGTGGAATACAGTGGTGGTGGGGGGGGGGGTCACTGCCTCTGTACCAGAGCGGCTGTATGTGTGTGAATAAATCTGCAAGCAATGTTCCCCAGTACTGGACTGCAGTGGAGTAGCTGGGGAGGGGGTGCCTGTTTGTCGGGCTGGGAGGTCAAGTCTTCTCTGTTCACAGTGCAAACTGACCAATTACAGGGATAGGTGATGTTATGGAGGGTAGTTCCGTTCTAGAATAGATACACTTTCTAGGAGGAGCTAATGAAGGCCTTTGCAGTGTGTGGGCATGCGGTAGGTGGGAGAGAAGGCTCTGCTCTGCTCTAGTCCAGTACTCTATGTCTGCACATCTGAGAGATCATTAATCCACAACCTACAACTATACCAATTATCCAATCAGCTTCCATCGTGTTCCCGTAGTCCTAACGTCGCATTTGCCGATGCCTGCTTTGTGTGTCCCGGTCCAGTGCTGCCGGAGATGCTGGAGCAGCTGGGACCATGCGGGAATGTGGGGGTGTGGCGTGGGTTCCATTCCAGTGTCACATGGTCTACCCCTCCCGTCATTGTGTTGCTGTTGTTGTTAGTCTGGTCTTTTGCTGACATCTAGAGGCCTGTGCTGCTCATAGCATGAGAACGCAGCTGACGTCTGGGGTGTCGTTATGAGTGGTGTGTGTACTGTGCCGGTGACGTGTCCGCCGCTGCTCCGTGCTCCTGCTCGCTCACTCCACAAGGTGTGCAGATGGTGCGATAGGATGTCTCCGTGATGAACCGCGGCTTCAAGTCTGTTCACAGCAGCTGCTGTTCGTCGGCCTTGTTCATTGGCTGTTGCTCTCCTGCTGTTCTCAGCTTTGATTGGTCACCATCCACTTCCGTCCCCCCACCATCCCACCCCTGGTGACCCCAGTAATTTCACCTCCACAGGTGGACGAGTTAAAACCTGGAAAAGAAGATGGTTCATCCTCACAGACAACTGCCTGTATTATTTTGAGTACACCACAGTAAGTAGCAGCGGGGGACTGGCTGAACGAGCCTTCCCAGAATGCACAGTCAGTTAGTGATTGGCCAGCACTGGCACATTGTCCTGTAAGGCATTAGGAGGGCGGAGAGCTCCATGATTGCGTTTGGTGCCTGTAGAGTTCTTCTCCTGGCATTACAATCCCACAGGCTAGAGTTTAATGGGACTATCTGGGAAAAAATTTTGCTTCACCCACTATTTTTTTGGAACCTTTTCACAGGACAAGGAGCCCAGAGGGATCATTCCCCTGGAGAACTTGAGTATCCGGGAGGTGGAGGACTCCAAGAAGCCTGTAAGCCATCATCTTCTCCTGCGGTTTTTGTCGGGAAGCCTCAGGTCACCAGCAGTCAGCTGGGCCGTGTTACTGGGCCTTGTTACTGGGCCGGGTTACTGGGCCGTGTTACTGGGCCGTGTTACTGGGCGTGTTACTGGGCTGTGTTACTGGGCGTGTTACTGGGCCATGTTACTGGCCGTGTTACTGGGCCGTTTCCCGAAACCGAGCTTAGCACCTTCATTCTGTTTAAAATGTCGTTGTTTAATAATAAATATGATAATAATAATAATTATTATAATAAATCATTTGGTCAGTCCTTTTTTATATAGTATATTTATATGTTTTAACCACACAGTTTACAAAATGCTTTACAGACATTTAAATGAAGGGCATTAAAACATAAGAATAATATAAACATACAGCACAACAATGTCAGTTTTAAAAAAACAAATAACAACAGCAATAATAATAAAATACCACCAAAATGCGGGACTTTAACCAGCCACATTCTTGTAGGGGACTGTAGACCACCCTCTCTGCTCTCTGTAGGGGACTGTAGACCACCCTCTCTGCTCTCTGTAGGGGGCTGTAGACCACCATCTCTGTCTGCTCTCTGTAGGGGACTGTAGACCACCCTCTCTGTCTGCTCTCTGTAGGGGACTGTAGACCACCCTCTCTGTCTGCTCTGTAGGGGACCACCTTCTCTGGTCCTCATGCAAGGGGACACAAACCCCTGCTGTACTGGAGCCCAAACCCAGTGTCCTCTGGGGGATTGAAGCCCCAGAGGATAATACTGTATAATAACGCCCAGTGTTCTCTTTGCCCACCCTGCACCTCTGACCTCTTTTTCTGCAGAACTGCTTCGAGCTTTTCATTCCCGACAACAAGGACCAGGTGATAAAGGCCTGCAAGACAGAGGCAGACGGCCGCGTGGTGGAGGGAAACCACACATTCTACCGTATCTCCGCTCCCACCGCGGAGGAAAAGGACGAGTGGATCAACAGCATCAAGTGAGAGAGGCTCTGTACACCCTACAGTTCAATGCAGATACATCACTGGAGGCTGTACCTCCTCAGGAATTAATCTGCCTGTACCCATGTCATTTCCAATCGCCAATGTCTGCGCCTCATCTCAGCAGCATGGGCTTTCTATGAGGGAGACCACCTGCCCAGATGCTCACCTGTTTATAGCCTCTACTGTAGCTGTGAGGGTAATTTAGGTTCTCTGCTGGTGTGAACGTTGTCCCTTTATAAAGACATTTCTTTAAATGAGCAGTAAAGTGTGGCATTGTTTGATGCTGCCCCCTAGTGGTCAGTGATAAAACGTGTATCTTTTTCAAAACATGTATATGCTGTGGAAGACCTGTATTGGGTTTTGGGCTCTAATGTGTCCCTCCCCCTCCTGTGTGACAGAGCGGCCATCAGCAGGGACCCTTTCTATGAGATGCTGGCAACCCGGAAGAAGAAGGTCTCGTCCGTGAAGAGACACTAGCCCGGTGACTGGACCCCACTGTGGCCCGGCGGGGCTTGGGGACTCGGGACTGGTCCTGCTCATGCTGTGCAGGAGGAGGGACCGGTGCTTTCAGGGTGGGGGTCTCAGCTGGGGGCTGGGGGCTGGGGGGGGATTCCCCATACGTGTCCTTGGATTCGGACGACGCAGCAGCGAGAGCTGGCTTACATTGTACCGCTGGACATTCCCACCCCCCTCTGCTGACCCACACTTTTAAGAGGAGGGTGAGGATGTCCTTTTTATCATTGCCCCCCCCCCCCCAATTCTCCTCATGATGTACAGCTCCTTGCTTTCACTTGCAAACTCCCATACAGAGACTTTATAGCCTCCTGCTGGAACACACATGCACACACACACACACAAACACACACACACCAAATCTGAATGTCTGAATGAATGTGGTTCCTGGAATTTTCTAACGTGGATAAGAAAACGAAAACACCCCCGCCAGGCTGAGAAGGTATCGCTTTTGTTTGTCTTTTACTGCTTTCATATTTATTATGAATAGATGGGCAGCTTGCCCTGGCCCTCGCACTCTCTCTGGGGATGACTCCTATTCCTGTGGTCAGGCAGGTGGATGCGTTTTCTCTGATAAGCTTCCAGGCAGTGGATGACTTTATGTGCAGTGTAAGGTGACAGGCACTGTGCACTGTGAATACCGGTCAGGTCATGTGATCCAGGACGGGGGGGTAAACAAAGCTGAATTGGGGTGGGGGTGGGTTAACAGTACTGAATGAGGAGTAAGGTGAGCGTGGAAGTTCCCCCAAAGCCTGCAAGCATCACACCATTCTTGACAACATGTTTCGCTGGCCTGTGACGTGTGCAGACATGAAGTACGCGGATTAGTACTGCCCCCCATCCCTCCCCCCCCCCCCCCCCGAAAGGGGCAAGGACTGCAGCCGGGCTCTGGGCTGGTGGGAAACAGCGCCGACTTTGCACTGGAGCAGCAAGCTCGACATGTGGCCGGGGTCCCATCTGAAGATCAAAGGTCACAAAAACAGGACGGATCGGCTCAGGGTGGACTGGAAGATAAATACGAAGCATCTGGTGGACATGTGAAGCATCTATCCTGTGAGGGACCGACTGGCAGGAGAAAGAGCAGCGAGTCTGAGGTGATTCCGGTCTCCTGCAGGCCTGGTTGGGTAGCCAATGAGCCTTCTGGTCACTCCTTCCACATTCCTGCTAGGCTATTAACCCAGATTGCTGAGCTGTAATGCTACTTGTGATGGTATGAAGCTCGTATCGTCGGACTGAGCACTGCCACAAGAGCAGACATGAGACTGGAGTGTGACCATATGACTGGAGCGCAGACCTAAGCAATGGCAAACAGCGCGGTCTAGTATGAATGGCAGGGCACAAAGTGCATTTGTATACCCTCAGGGGGCGGAGTCTGACTCAGGGTCGGTTTGGTGATTGGTTGTTTTAGACTCCTTTTGCCCCCCATTGGCCAACAGAGAGTTCAGAACTACTCAGTATCGCTCAGATGCTTGAGTCTTCATGCTCTAAACATGCCCTTCTATGCTCCTCTATTTCTATGTGTAGGATTACCGCTCCTGCTAGGCCACCTTGCTCATATAAATATGTGAATTGCCAGGCTGACCAGGGTTCGACCTGCTCTCTCTCAGCCAGCATAAATGTTTCAGCACCGTCTGTCTTCAATAAATGAAGGTATTTTGTATCATTTTAAAGGAAAAATGTATGCTTTTTTATGAGGAAAATTGCACCAATATTTGGTACCACAGCTGTAACGACTTTCTGCTTCTTGTCTGTTCATCTGAAATGCAGTTCCTAGTGACATCTCGGTCATTACTTAGGTTTTTGTTTGGATTTTGTTTGCTTTCATTTGTGTTTCTTTGTTTCTCTTTACACAGATTACTGTACTGATTGCTGAGAAGCCAATGCAATCCAACCTTATAAAGTGACAGTATTCGTCTATAATCTCTCAAGACTGTATATAACAAAATGTGTCTATTTACTGTCTATTTTGCTTTTAAGATATAAGTTTAATAGAAATATACTGAGTGCCAGATCTGTTTTTTGTTTGTTTGATTTGAAGCTTCTGCCATTGCCATGTAATCTAGTGCTGATAAAGAGAATAAAATGAATTACTGATTTATTATGGTGTTAAGCTACAGCACTTCACAATGTAACCCTATTTTGATGACAAAAAAATCAAAGCGCTGAGTAAAAGCAGATTGCTGTAAAATTCCAATAAAATTGTTCCAATCAACATAATAAGCACAGCAGTTGGTAAGTAAGTGTGAATTTTGAATGTTTAGTAACAAGCAACATGCCTAAAGTGCATTTCATGAGGGCTTAAGATTGAAGGACATTTCAGGATTTAAGACACCAGCCTTTCCTTTGGTATCCTACATAATATTCACCAAAAATGTGTGCAGAGTTCACAGGGATTGTTGGCCTTTCACGCTTCCTGTTTATCGTCTGCCTCCCTTCCCGTAATCCTGTGGCTATTGGCCGGCCCGTCCCCCAGTCCTCGCCCCTTCCTGAAAGGCATTCGAAAGCCCACGTGATGAATCTCACCCGTGCACCACTGGCTGCCTGCAGCACACCAGACAGGCAGCGTCTCAGGCCAGGAATGCCATCAAAATTAGACTTCTACCACTTCAGGAAGGTATATCAGTGAGATGCCCAGATCACATTATATGACACTTTTTAAAATAAACATACTGTATGTAACCACATGCACAAGATCTGCCCTAAATAGTGTCATATCATCATGATATTTCCTTTTCTATTATGTCTTATGTAGCCTCTTGGTTTGTGGTTTTTACTGTAACTGACATATTATAGTTACCATAATCTGTAAAGTACAAATCCCGATAGTCTCCTTAATGTGGCCAAAATTTAAATTTATTGTGGAAACCTGTTATACACTTAACATTAGTAATAAGCAGGAAATTCATGATCTACAGACAGGTTAGACCATGGTAACTACCCATAATGACAATGGTAACGCTTTACTTGACGGGGCAGAAATAATCATGTGATTATTTATGTGTTAATTAACCATAAACTAAGTCTTAGTTACATACTGATCTTGTGTTAATTCATGAATCATGATGCATGTTTTAGCTCAAGCAGTTACTATAATTGTTACTATATCTGTTAATTCTGTAAACCTTTGTGAACTACCGAAAGATCAATTCATGAATAACACACGTTATATACTGATCTCATATTTGTTCATCATTAATGAATCATGATGCATCTTTTATCTCAAGTAGACTATATTTGTACATGATTTGTACTTCAGTAGTAACTGAGTTATGACTAAGTATTTATGCCCCCTGAAGTAAAGTATTACCATGACAATTAATGTTGCTGTATGAGTTTCCCTGTACAGCTTATTTGCCCATTTGTTCAGTTCTTCATTTTTACCGGAGCAATACAAGTGTAGTTCCTTGCTCTCCTGACTTAAACCAACAATGTGTTTCTGTGTTTGGCTGAGATGGACCTAGTACAGGGGTGGTCGATATTATCTGCAAAGGGCCGGTGTGTATGTAGGTTTTTGGTGTAACCTTTAGGTCAGCTGTTCAAACCCAGGTGTGAGGACTCTTCAGCCAATCAGTCCTCTAATCAGTAATCTTATTAGGGAGTTCCAGTGAAAACCCACACACACAGCAGCCCTTTCTGGATAAGACTGGCCACCCTTGGGCTAGTTATCAAACACTATCATTATCAATCAGATTACTGTAATGTGTCTCTATGGCCAGAAGGGGGCGGTCAAAGTCTTTCAATGTAAAGGCATGAGGCCTATCACTTTCTCCTTTTTTTTCTTAACAAAAAACCAAAGGGGAATTGTGGAATGCGAGCGAAACACATTGCAAAATCTCATTTTACCATGTGCTCTGTATTAGGACCCCAGAAATTTGACATGTGTTTACAGTTAGGCCGATCTCAGTCCAGCTCAGTAACAGCAATGAACTGTAGATTGCATATGTATGTCAATTACATCCCAAATCATGAGGTAAAATTTCTGGAAAGTGGCATTTTATGCTTATTACAAAATTGTCATTTATAGTGGAAAATTCATAACTAATAATGATATAAACAATAATAAGTCAATAAACAAACAGTAATGGACTGGTTAAGGCTGTAACAATTTACAGGACACTCAGAAATTCTCAACAGTGATATGGCATTTAACTTTAACCTCAGCAGTATACACGATGGTGCTCAGTGAAAACTAGTTGTTTTGAACATATCTGGGGGAAAAAAAAATAAAAAATTTTGAGAACCAGATTCTCTAGATCCCTGTGATCCTGTCAAGCATAACTGGCTGGATGGGGACTGTGCAGTTCTGGGGTCTCCACGATGAGGAAATAATTTACAAGGATCAAATGCTGTATCTGCACACACTACTCATTCTCACATATTTCACTGTATTAATTTAGGTCCTGTACTCAGTGGAGTCACTTTGTGGGACTTGACCTCTCTTTAGGCAGGTCAAGTAATTCCTTGTGTCATTCTGTGATGTTGCAACCATCACAGAATGCATTGAGTCTTGTAAGAAAATAATGCTAAAGAAGATCTTCAATGTGCCTTTTTGAGGCAAGTTATGAGCATTAGACATACTGAGCTGACCAAAAGGTTTTCTTAAACTTTTTACAGGATTGATGTTGATGGTGAATGTCGTTTGCCATGTTGAGGTATGTGTTTGATTTCTACTTGTGTGTGTCAATGATTGTGTGACACTTCAGAATATCCAGCACCATTTCAAAGTGTACGGGAGTTCCAACAGCTGTCACCTTTTCCCTATATTTCCATCATTTGACACTGGAATACAGTTATATCTACACGTTGGGTATACTCCAGACATTCTTAGAGCAAAATAATTCCAAATACATCGATATAAAAAACATATTTTGAACAACCATCTGTAGTAACAATATTTCAGTGTTTGATAGAGATTAAAAGTAGTTATTGGTTTGTTGGCGTTTCTGTAACAGGGTTAGGCTACTGAAATCAACGTAGACAATTTTTTCATACATTTAGGTTGGAAATCAGATCCTGGATGTTTCCCGTTTGGCAGAGTGCAAAGCAGCACTTGTTATTTGCGGCAAAAATTGTAATGACCTTTGAAGAATAAGTTGCGTGCCTGGCGTTTCTTTATTTCCTCCACCTTTAGGCCAGTATCACAAACGAAACAACGCGCTTTATTGAATTATTTACTGATTATTTACATACAACCACACCTTATATATGTCACCAATGAATGGAGCAGTCTGGTGACGTTTAGCTGGTTTAAACTGAAGCAACCTATGGGATTTATATGGCGGTTTGTAACGGTCAGCGGGTTTCTAATTTCGGGCAGCGCGAGGCGCTTGTTTGAAGCTCGCCGGCTAGTGGGCGCGTCGTTGAACTGCCTAATTAACTAGGTCATTTATGAGTCTAAATTAAAAAAAAAAAGCGTTTTAAGTTTTTAAATGCTATAATTGTTTACTTTACTGTTAAGGTATTTTAGATGAAAGGCGTGTCTAAAAACATTTAACATTTCCTTAGAGTTAGCTTGGTTACGCCGCAGTAGAGGACCAAGAATTAGGTATGTGAAGTGCGCGACCAACATGGCCGCCTTTTTTGTTCCAGATTCCTGTTCCACCATCGGGTCATCTGAGCGCTGGGTATACCCCGGAAAATACGCATTCTTATTGTATCGCATTGCGGAATTCCGCGGTATTCCCACTGATAACATAGATGGGGAACCCCTCTTCGTCCTCCGTTTTGAATTTTTCAATTCTGTGTACATTTAGACCTTTCCCGGAAACGTTGAAAAATACACTCGATTTCAACATACAAAAACCACTT